TAATGATAATAATAATAATAATAATAATAATAACAATAATAATATGAAAACTTCTTTTACATTTTGATGCATAGATGAATACCAGTGCAGTCTCTTTGGATCAATAATGCAGACTCATTTCATCATTTTATTAAATTTGTTGCTCATTAAAATAAAGCCAATTTTTTATACTTATTTTTAATTTACCAGCTGGACTCACGAGACCAGCCATGCAGACATGAACGATAACAAAGTTTTTAGTAAAATAATTGATCAAACAAATCTTTTTTAAAATAATAACTTTAATTTGAGGGGCTCCATTTTGCTGCATTTAAATTTAGTGCCAGGTCCCCAAATCAGCCTATGCGTGTAGGCATACTTGAACACGTGTTAGCACGTGGGTACATCTTTATTCCTACTCCTAATCACGTGACATGCTCATTAGCAATGTCTGCATCAATGGTTTGGCAGCAAGTGCTTCTCTTTCTCTTCTTAAATGTGGAAAGGACCCAGAGCTCCTACCTTAACTGTAGCATAGACACAATATATCCTCTTCGTTTCGTTGGATTCTTTCCCTGTCTCAACCAATGGGATGAAGTAGGAGACTGTGATAGGCTAACCCTCACTGCAGTGGAAAGAGCTATAGCAGAAATCAACCAAGACACCAACATATTGAGATGTTTTGAAATAAAACTATTAGCTATGAAAGACCCAGTACAGGTAAAACTTTTATACCAATAGATCTAGATTTAGTTAGATTGCTAGATTATGTACTCAGGCTATAATTTATAAATGTTGACACTAATTATATAGCAGCCAGAAAAATTCTGATTCCCATATAAAGTTATCAGCACTTGTAGGAAACAACTAAGCTAATTGAGTTTCTATATAATGAGCACAATGATCAGCCTATTCATGGTGTTATTGGACCTTATCATCCTGAAAGTGCTAAGATGTTTGCTTATATTTTTGGACATTATCTGAGTACATTACAGGTATTGAACATTTATCAAAAACAATCTAATTGTATACTTTTATAAACTTTAGATTTCTTATTCAGTGACTAGTGTACTACTTGATGACAATGAAAGATATCCTTATTTTCACACTACAATTCCAAATGATGAGTACTACAGTGTTATTATAAGGAAGCTACTGGATCACTTTGATTGGCAGAAAGTGGCCATTATATCGACGTTTGATGAGCAAAATGCCTTGGTAAGACTCACTCTTACTTTCTCATTGTTTTGAATATAAATAGGTTTTACATTCAATATTTAGAGTACTTACCCATCACAATAAGCATCCTCATATTTTTGACTCTATCAAAGGCTTAGTCTCTGCTGAACTTGTTCTAAAGTCTGCAAAAGTAAATGACATTTAATAGCACTTGTATAGTTTCAACACTACAAATATTTAAGAAAACATTCTTTCATTCTCCATTTAATATTCATTCTAACTATCATAACTGAAGTCAATAGTGCAGCACATACACTCAACGCTTAGCTATACATGCTAGTATGCACAATCATTACTGCACGGTTAGTTTAAATTGGTTACACTCAGCATCATAACTAATCTCACAGTTTGATTAGATAAACTGACTATGTAGCCTACTCACTGGAACGTGCATAGTACACATATTTTGTCCATTCATAAATGAATGGGCTTACTTCCTATTCTATCACTGGCTTTAAGTATGATATTTATTTACATTTAGGCGGAAGATTTTAGAATATTTATTTCTGTCATGGATCCAATAGATGCCAGGAATTTGCTTTGTCAGGTATAATTGATTCATCAACATTGGTCAAATCTAAATTTCTAGGCATATCAAGCTGGTCTCACTACTGCTAAGTATGTATGGATATTGCATGGTATGAATACTCCTGATTGGTGGACAG